AGTAAGGTTTATTTAATGAAAACATTATTGTCTATAAAAGAACAATTCGGAACGTACATTTTATGTTGATTATCAAATGTTCATTCTTACGCCTTGTTATATAATATTTTCATGATTTTAATTAAAAAAAAAACATTTTTTTAACTATAATTATTTCATGCCATTTGACTTGTTTAGATTTAAGATGAATTTGTTTATTCAAGCTATTTATACAGGAGAAAGGCAAGACTGTCTTTAGGCGTAATTATGATGGCCACTACGGAAGAGATTACTCCTGTTGCTGAGGTGAAATCGGGTAATATGCATGATGAATCGATGGAGGAAACAAGAAGTTTTAATAATAAAGACGAGAATACATCGAATCAACTTTTGAGTAGCACAGCAAGTACAAATAATATAGACAGGGGTGAAAAATGCGGTGTACCGGGAAATGAACATTCACAGGATGTTGATAATGCAGACTTGGATAACAAGGCTGACGATGAGGATGACGGTGAAGACTCGGACGATGACAATTTTGATGTTATAATTAGACCAAACAAAGGTGGAGGATGCAAAATAAGAAGTACTTACCAGGCAAGATCGCTGCCGATTAACACTCGGGGTATACTGCCTTATCTATCAATGCATGTTCTCTACACTCTTCTTTACATGTTCTCTTTGCTCATAACATATTCTTATATTTAGGATCAAAGGTTATCAGGCAAGGCATTGATCTCAATGTTCCGGGTAATATTGAAGGCGTTCCTTCTGTGAAAAATAGCACAAGTGGTCTCAAAGATGCAGAAATACCTTAGGGAAAAGCCAGGTGCTGATATAGCTGACTACTTCAATTTTGGCTTTACTGAGGACGCCTGGAATGAAAACGTAGAGAAGCAGAGGATTCTTTGTCAAGAGCATGCGAATTCCGCCATTAAACCAGTTGTGATTGGATCTGCAGTGGGTCTTAATCTATCAGGTGGCAACTCTCGTATCCCGAAGTTAAATGTGCTCTTGGCCGGCAAGTGAAAGATATTACAAGTAGTAATCGTGGCCGTTCGCCATCTATGAATGAGAATGATGCCGAGAAGAGTAGAAGTAGTCATCTTGGTTCGGCACAAGCATAAGCACAACCACTTAATTTCCCTCCTGCAACTGCGTTTGCTCTCCTGAATGTTGGCGTTGTTCTACCTCGATTCATGAATGCTCTCAGCTTTTCTCCACCTTTACTTGATTCTACTTTCCCACTAAAACAACTTCCTGGTTTTCGCAGTCAAGGCAATGGTTTGATGCCTCTCCTTATTCCAAGCGTCATTCGTTGTGGACCAGGAGCAAGACATCCACCTCATACTTCTCCCAATATCATGTTGTAAGTTTGCTTTCATTCACTCTTACTATTTTGTCTGATTTGTGATGTAATTGTTTTTCCTACTTTCACGTGATTCGAGTCCAGAGGAGGATTTTGGGAGTCACCGCTCTTGATATCGTGATGACAAATCAGAGAGTCGGTACGATCGGTAAGTTGATTCTATGCTATTTAACTCTCTACTCACTATTTACAACTCTTTTGCACTCAAATTGATGGTTGGCACGAGATTGTACCAAGTAGGCTGGAAATAAGTGAATCGAATTTGAAGTCTCTACTAGTTGGAGTTAATATCTACAGCTTAAAACGGGGTATCATGTATTTGTTATTCCTCTTTCGGTTCCCTTGAGTGTCTTTCTCCTATTTAGTTAAGAACAAGTTAAATTTTGTTACTTAGCATGCAATCGAATTTATTTGTCGATTATGCTCGATCTTAATGGGGTAAAGGTTGGCCATACTGTGAAAGATTTTGGTCAAATCGTATTCTATTGAAGTAGAGGTTAATTCCATATGCCTGAAAGAGGTTGTTATTTCTCGTCGGACTGAGTGAGCGACGTTTTCTGAAAAATAGTTTAAGTAACTCTAGGTAGAAGAGGTTGTTAAGATCCTCCACTCCTCCGAGATGAATTCCGGTGTTAGCTACATCTTTTCTTTCTCTACGGGCCTGTTGATGGTGGAAACGGCTTTGTCGGACTTCTAAATTAGTCTCGCCATAATCTATCTTTAATTGTACTTTGTAGTAGGATTTATCTGTAATTCCTATCTCTAGAGAAATTGGTTTAGGAAATTTGAGAGAAATAATCAAATTGCCATTTTGTGAAACTGTGGTTTTCATATCCATGGAGTTAGAGTTGAAAACCTACTTTTCATTTATAAACAGATATAAAGAAGATTCTGGTCGAGAATATGGGGGTCGTAGTGGTCGTTCTTCTCGACGACATGGATCAAGAGAAAGGCGTCGCGAGTGTTCTCGTGATCGAAGTCCGGTCTTCGCCATTCCTCTCAGACAGTCTTCGAATACCCCAGAATCCTCATTACGTTCAAGATGAAAGGCAGCAACTAGGGATTCAAAAGGACGTGGAGGAGGAGGTGATGGTGATGGTGGTGGAAAGAAGTCCTATCGAAGCAGTCATCGCAGCAGGCGTCATCGTCCATCACCAACACCACGTAGGAATCGATCACCTTCTACATCTCGAAGATCTCCTCTTCCTGAAGTTGGGATTCGTTCATTTTCCACGAAATCTGTTAATCCGCTGGAACCGGTTTCGAATGCGTCCACTGATGTTAGTGCAAAACAGCATCGATCATAAGTTGGTGTCTTCTAAATGATTTCACACATACAGCACTTTTCATACACTCATTCACTTGTATTGCCTGTTTTGTAAATAAAATGAAAAGAATATGTATTTGCTACTTGTTCAGTTTATACTTTATTATGGGTTTGTGAGCTCATTGATGTCTGCTTACCAACACCATTATCACACCTTCTACTTATCAGTAGTCAGTTATAAAGCTGTTTGTGGGTTATTATCAATGATGAAGTGGATTGAATATAGGCATAATACAATGCTGGCATGTAACTTACCATTTCCTAATAAACGACATTTCGTACGAATATTACCACTTGGAATCGTTGTTTTTGATGAGATACTGGTATGTTAACAATACATCCACACGTTGTCCACAATGGAACAAATCATTGTGTTCATATCATAATATCTTCGATGCGTTATTTGTCATACAAAAGCGAAACACCGTAAAGTGTAAAGTGTAAAGAAGTAAAACGCAACAAAAGAACGCACTTAACAGAGTGATGACTATCGTTTATAGGGGGAAAGAAGGAGAGAGGGGGAGTGGGGAAGAGTGAGAATAATACCGCAATTTGCAAGTACTCCGGCTTAAGCACAGATCCGTATTATCCTCTTTAATTACCTTTGGTTTTAAAGTTTTTGACACTACTCCACATCATACAAATCTTCTCATCTAATCACCCATAATTTCAAATCTATTGCCCATGCAATAATGCCTTTCCTCTGTTTGTTTACTGATAAAATTTTTTCGTCTTCTCTACATCTACTAATTACTAGAATGGGTAAGATGCATGCAAGTGTTGCCTATCCTACTTTACTCGTTTTGGACTTGCGTTCGTCCAAAAGACCACTACTTGAGGGCATTTTATTTCATCAAAATGACAAAGATATCAATATTGGAATCAGTGAAATAAAACGTATTGCTCTTGTTGATATTTTTATTATAAAGAACAACGTCCCTTTGCAACGTTGGCAAATTACCATCGATGGAATAACGTAAACCTCATAAGTTCAGTGATGCCGATTTCAAATGAGTTGAATCAATTTGAAATGATAACTCGGCCCATATTGACACATCAACTTCTTCTATTGTTCACAGTAGGAAACATTTTTATGTGAGGTGATAAAGATTGCCCTTAAATGACAGTCATAAACCCTTAAACCGAATTTCAGACTCAGACGTCTTACCAATAAGTGTTAAGAAGAGAAAGTGGGGATCATTGAACGAAAAGATTTAGCACCAAAAGTGTCTCTCTCGATTGGTGCTAAGACCCTTAGAAGAGCGCCATAAATGGATGTTGGTTTTAAAATACAATCGAAATGCAAATTAGGGTTAATGTGGTGAGAGCTGTAAGGTGATCGCTTTCAATTGAATGAGAAGGAAAACTTGTTGCGAAGTAGAAGGATTTGAGGATTTGGAGGATTGAAAAATACCATTCTATAATTGATATAGAATGCGATTCTTCCTTGAATTTCGGAGACGACTTCAGGGCAGAAGATAGATGTGAATTGAGCGAAGGGTTAGCAGTGTGAATGACAAATTGAGGGCAAGATGAACACAGTGAAATCTCGATCACTTGTGTCGGTTCAAATGAAAAGAGATTAGAAGAGTGGAGCAGAAGTAAATTGAAGGAAATAGAAGGTCAAGTGTTATGGAGCATTGTGTTGCCTCACACTACTTGAATAACATTTTGTTTGCATTGTGAAAGTAAAATCAAAGCCTGTAATGATTGCTCCCTACAAGACTACCAGAATTCAGAAGACGAGAGTATAAGCAAATGATAAA